GAAGGAAGGAAGGAAGGAAGGAAGGAAGGAAGGAAGGAAGGAAGGAAAATTTCTGTAGTAACTCCTTTCAGAAGAGGCAAATTTTGAAAATCCAAGAAGAGGGTAGACTCCTGCATTGTCGAATCTACCTTTCAAGTATCCCATGTAATACCGAAGACACTCTTTTCCTCTGATGGCTTTTATTTTCACTTTCTCGTTTGGGTGATCCATCTTTCCCTCGACAAGGACTTGGCTTTGATCAGCCGAAGAGGTCACACAGGCCTTCACATCCATCCAAGTAGCCTCGGGTCCTTTCAGCTGGGCGAGGGAGACAAATCACAAGAATAGACACAGAGCAAAAGAGTTATGATGAAAGAGCATTTCATTTCAAGTTCCAGAACATCTTACCACTTCTCTACTTTCTCGAAAGCTTTGAGAGAAGTTTGGGAACATGACTTGGGCAGAAAGCATTGTGGTCATCCTGATTTCCCATTCCTGCTTTCAGGATAACTTTGACTTTACAAAAATCAAGAGCTCATGATGGATCTCATAACAAGAGTATCTGTGATGCCCCGGACCATGGCACAAAGGCAACACAGTCAGATAATCAATAGGAGTCCCTTTATCAGCTCCAACTTTGCCCCCAATGTCCTGGCTACTTTCTGGCTGGAGAAAATCTCTCCCAGGAACAGCCTTTGGCTGCAGAGAATTAAGTCCAAAATGTGGTCAACAAAAACTGTAACTATAAGTCAAATCAAGGCAAAATGAGGTAATTAGTCCGGCAGGCAAGGAGCAAGAATTCCTGATGTGAAGGCACAGCAATAACTCAACATGGTTGGGAAGATGCCAGGAACACAGATAACCAAAGTGAACCCAAGATAAATTCACGTTTGCTCCCAGCAGCTGCTGCACTCAGCATGCATCTCTTTTAAATTCTCTTCCCAGGTGTGGCTAATGAAGGGAATCAGGGCCCTTTCCTTCCCCGTCAAACCACGCCATCCATGTTGCTCTCTCCTCCATTCCTCCCTGTGTGCCCTAGGATGAAGAGGCGGTGGGCCTGGGTCTTCCTCTGAACTCCCTCTCCCTTGTTCTACCTCTTTCCTGCTCTGCCCAGCTGGACTTTGCCCTTCCCCAGTTTCCTCCACAGCCAATGGAGCCACACTCCCACTCCCTGTCAGCTATTCGTCTTCCTCCTCGGATTCAGACTCCGACAGGGACATGACAGTATCGTGGCTCAAATGGATTGTAGATTCTCCTCCAGGGGTGGGATTCAATCTTTTTTTACTAGCGGTTCTGTGGGCGTGGCTTGGTGGGCGTGGCAGGGGAAGGATACTGTAAAATCTCCAGTCAGAGCTGGTATTTGCCGATTCTCCGAACTACTCAAAATTTCCACTAACGGTTCTCCAGAACTGATCCGAACCTGCTGAATACCACCTCTGTTCTCCTCTTAATGTAAGTATGTGACTATTTCGATCAGGAGATGGCAGCATATACTCACTCACAAGTTAAAAATAAGAACAGTGGAGCACAATTTAGGTATGGTAAAAAGATGTTTCAGGTAGATATAAGTCAAGCTCCTGACAGCTGTATTTCTCTTGGGAGAGAATCTTTTGCAGTAAAAAATTGTTTGGAACAAGCTGCATTAATATACCTTCACTTCTTTTCTCTGAAACATAAGAGACCTCCTTTTAAAATGTCACTCTGCTATATTCCTGCTAGGTTTCCCGACTGTAGGTAGTCCTCAACTTACAACCAGCATTTCTGTTGCTAAGTGAGACCTTTATGGAGTTTTGCCCCCATTTACGGCCTTTCTGTGCCAACTCAGAAAGCTCAAACTGCCCAAGCAGCTGCTGATACAGTTCTACAGAGGAATCATTGAATCTGTCATCTGCACCTCTATAACTGTCTGGTTTGGCTCTGCAACCCAACAGGACAGACACAGACTTCAGAGGATAATTAGGACTGCTGAAAAAACAATTGCTACCAACCTGCCTTCCATTGAGGACCTGTATACTGCACGAGTCAAAAAGAGGGCTGTGAAAATATTTACAGACCCCTCACATCCTGGACATGAATTGTTTCAACTCCTTCCCTCAAAACGACGCTATAGAGCCCTGCACACCAGAACAACTAGACACAAGGACAGTTTTTTCCTGAACGCCATCACTCTGCTAAACAAATAAATTCCTCAACGCTGTCCAACTATTTATAAAGTCTGCACTACTATTACTGTTAATCTTCTCATCACTCCTTATCACCCGTACCCTCCCACTTGTGACTGTATGACTGTAACTTTGTCGCTTGTATCCTTACGATTTATATGGACTGTCTCCTAGTATGATTTGATTGCTTATTGTACCTATGACTATCATTAAGTGTTGTACCTGATGATTCTTGACTCTTGACGAATGTATCTTTTCTTTTATGTCCACTGAGAGGACTTGCACCAAAGACAAATTCCTTGTGTGTCCAACCACACTTGGCCAATAAAGAATTCTATTCTATTCTATTCTATTCTATTCTATTCTATTCTATTCTATTCTATTCTATTCTATTCTATTCTTTCTCGCTACAATGGTTAAGGGAATCACTGCAGCTGTTAAGTTAGTAATACGGTTGTTAAATGAACCTGGCTTCCCCATTGACTTTGCCCATCAGAAGTTTGCAAAAATGACCCCGAGAGACACTACAACTGTCATAAATATGAGTCAGTTGCCAAGGGTCAGAAATTTTGATCATGTAGCCTTGGGGATGCTGCAAAAGCCTTAAGTCTGAAAAACGGTCATGAGTCACTTTTTCCCCTGCTGTTGTAACGTCAAATGGTCACCAAATAAGTAAAGTTGAAGCCGACCTGAATTCTACCTAATGGTACAATGGAATCAAACAGGACCAGCCATATTTGTTCTGACCCAGGCTTCATCAAACTTAATGAAACACAAACTTATTTTAAAAGTAAAACATTTTAATGCGACGCTGGGAATTACTTGCATTCCCAGCCAAAACTCATTATACACAGTTCCTCCAGATAAGAGCATGCTTTTCAGTGCTGTAGAATGCTGCAAAAAAACCAGAAGTCCAATTAATTTTAACGTAAACTAACCCAACAACCCAGAAAAAAAAAATGACCAGTTTACAGAACTTCAAGAAGGATTCAGAAATTACTGAACTGCTTTGCTTCCTGCAAAGCTTTTCGTCATTGAGGTCTGACTTTTATCCCTTAAGAGAGGGGCAATCACCTCCCAGCCTTACTCCTGAGTTGCCCCTTCAGCTGCTCTCGCCTTCCAGCAGCTCTGCACATACATGCACTGGAAACAGGCTCCCCTTGTTCCTCTGCCTCGCTGCTGCCAGACTCTGGAGGCTCCGGAGGCATCACCCCACTCCCAGATGGTCCTGGCCCCGTCTCAACATCGGATGCAGGACCCTCATCTGAGTCCTCTCCAGACTCCCTGACTGGTCCCCTTTCTTCCTCACTATCCAAATCTGCTACCGTCCGCAGCGGCAACTGGTGAACCACAACAATACCGTATTATGCCACCTCCTTTCTTCCTCTAGTCACTTTCTGGGATAATCCAAGACAAGAAGACAGTATTGATGTCTTTTTATGAGTTGAGAGAGAGAGAGAGAGAGAGAGAGAGAGGGAGGGAGGGAGGGAGGGAGAGGGAGAGAGAGAAGTCAGAAAGATGCAGTATTTCCCCTTATTAGTTATCACCAGCTCACTGAAAATTCCGCCGAATAGTTCCTCGTTTCCAGCTTGCTGTTGTTCTGTAAAGCCACCGTAATCGTCCCTTCATTGTTTCCAAGGCTGATTTTCCCTTCAGATCGTAAGACGGTGTCCCCCTGGTTTAGCTGGAGTTTGCCAGAGAGAGCAATTGCCTAGAAGAGAGGAAGCAAATAGGGTCAGTTTTCAGGGGGAAAAAATGGAGAACAGGAAAGCTCCTGTTGGAACAAGAAAGCTCCAACAGGAAGTTGGAACCCAGAATACACTCAGAAGTACCCCAAAAGGACAATATTTGTAGCTCAGAGTTGAAATGGAGGGGCCCTCGGTGCTCTCTGAGCTTGATTGTTTTCTTGCAGACGTTTCATTACCCAACTAGGGAACATCATCAATGCTAGAAGAGAATGGGAGTTTGCAGAGAGGAGGAGGAGGAGGAGGAGGAGGAGGAGGAGGAGGAGGAGGAGGAACAGGAGGAGAATGACTGTAGGGTCCTTGGTGTTCTCTGAGCTTGATTGTTTTCTTGCAGACGTTTCATTACCAAACTAGGTAACATCATCAGAGTTGGTAAGGGATTAGGGGGGTTACTCGTAATGAGATGTCTCCAAGAAAACAACCAAGCTTAGGGAGCACTAAGGATCCCACACATTCAGAAGTTACTAAAAATAGTTTCTGTTTGAAAGCCTTCCAAATCATCCCTCACATTTGGAAGGTCGCACATCCAGAGTCTCATGTTGTAATTCAGCCAAGCTGCATAATCTGTTTCAACTTCTCCCAGAATACGGTGATGGGAACATGAGGCCAAGAGATTCTTTAAAGTAGCTTCTACCAGTATTTTGTCCCGCTGCAACACTCGGCTTTTCTGCATTAAAAGATAAGGAGGAGGCAGAAATATAATTGTGGCACATACTGGGAAAACAAAAAGGACCTACATTGTTATGTGTGTGCATTTTTTTTTCTTTCCAGAAATGTTTAATACAATAATTAAAATTATTGGAACAGCGGCCCAGAATCACATCCTAGCAGAATTCACATACATTGTGAATACGTTTGTTCTGTTTCACTCCGTTATTGTTCCTCTGTCCTTTAAAATTCAAAGCATTGAACCTGGAAAGTCTATGTTTCTTTCTTCATTGTACTTAACTACAATAACTTAGTAAATTTGAGTTAAGACTTATCTGGAAGAGTCCCAAAGACACACAACGAGCTCCATGTTTGAATGGGAACTTAATTGAATTAATTATCTCAGAGAAACATTAGGTAGAGAGATAATCTCTCCTGGCACACTTGTGAAAACATTGTAATCCAATCTTAATTTCACATAATAAAAAAGCCCAGCTGTTAGGTTGCCAGTGTCTTGGGTGAAGGTGCCTTGTCTGGCGTTGGCAAGTTGGAAGCCGCAGGTCCCATGATATGCACTCCTCAAATCTATACAAGTCAGCAAAACATGGCATGAAAAACACACCAAGATTCAAATTTGGGATTCAAATTTTTTTTACTACTGGTTCTGTGGGCATGGCTTGGTGGGGGTGGCAGGGAAATGATACTGTAAAATCTCCAGTCAGAGGTGGTATTTGCTGGTGCCCTGAACTACTCAAAATTTCCGCTACCGGTTCTCCAGAACTGCAACCCTAACCCTAACCATGGTATGGAGTCTCTTGCTGGAGCGGAGAGTTGGACTAGAGCAGTGGCCCCCAACCTTTTTTGAACCAGGGACCGGTTTCACGATTATTTTTTCTTCCACGGACCGGTACCTGAGTAACGCGAGACTCCACCGCCATCGGGACGGCTCTTCATTCGAAGCCGTTCCCCCC